ATTTATAATGGCAAGGTCTGAAACTAGATTTCTGCCGTCTACGGGTCACCTCCGCCAGCCAGGCTGTTTTAACGTATATGTTACCTACTTGTCTGAGACCATTTCATTCCCTTTTGTCCGGCAAAGTTTCTTTCCCCACTCACAACGGTTCCATTAATTTGTTTTTGTCCAATTGACCAAACGTTCAGTGAACCTTGATTGATTCGTCAGTCAAAACGTACATGGAAATATCAAAATTTCAAGAGTAATTTTCTAACATTGTAGAGCAAACATACCAGTAGCGTATAGTTATGAGCACAAGACACGCGGTTGTCTATGACCCCGAGTTAATTACCACAGAATCGATTAAGCTCTTTTCCCTGTTCTCCATCCGCACAGAAAACCCTCACCAACGCAATGTGTGCGGGCGCATTAGCACGCGTGAGATGTCTATTAAAGCAACAATAAGATAAAAAAAAAAACGGAACGCACGTCGATGCTACAAAAATGCGGCAGTAACTACAGAAAAGCGGATTAGATGTCCCTCCTTGTTTTCGTTAGCACCTCTCAGCGACGTGTTTCTTCAGTCACTACCCATACACAAGCCTATTCAGTGTTTTCTCCCCGTTGCCGGCAATTAGCACCATAATAAAGCACAACAGTGAGCTCTCCGACGCGATCCCTATCCCATTTGATTTGCATGTGAAAAGTGGTCGACCTCCCCTTCATTTTTTTTTCTCTCCCTTATTTTTTCGTATTTCTTTGGTGCGCAAGCCACCAAATGAAATTTACTTACAAATTTTTTTTTTTTTAAATAATTCTCCGGCCATTTTTCCATTGAAATTCTTGGTCATATAATGCTGTCAATTGCCATCTCTCTTTTCTCCTTCAGCTTGTCTTACCTCCATTACTTTCGTCTCTTCAAAAACCTTAAAAAAACGATATAAAAGAAGTGCATGCAGGACAGATAGCCGCTCTTTCCAACGGAAGTTTCAAATTCTAAACGAAACAATAGCGAAACTGAGTCGTAAAGGTTTATGGCTCTATTCTCAGCGTCTTCGTATATGCAGGCCTACAGTTGCTCACTAATATACCCTCACCGCAAACACGCACGCAGCGAGCCTGTGGTCATTTTTTCAAACTCTTATGCTCTTCCAAGGGGAAAAAACTCGATAATGTCGATTCCAGAGGCTGTCGAAAAAAATGATAGGTAAAATTCATTTAATTGGCCGATTCTTTCGTACACTCAGGAAGATTCACTGCGGAGAGTTTGATTGATGTTTCCGCTTGGCTAGAAGATCCACAAGAGTCGTAAACATTAATCGGTCTCCTCAATGCTACTCCGTCGAGTGTCTGAGGGTGTTGAATAATCGATTTAATTTTGTCGCTGCAACATCGAACGTTCATCACGACATATTTACTGGCCAAAGTGTATACTATATATATTTAAACCAATTTGTTTGACATATGATGATCTTCCTCTGGAGACCGATTTGTGAATAATCCGCGTCGAATTTATTTCTATTTGTCTTCGAGGGTGGCCACAATAATGCCACCAAAAATCTCTCGCCTTCATCTCTTCCCCCTTCCTTTTTCTAATCTTTGCTCGGGCGAAGGGGGAATGGGAGAATGGGGCGAGTGTGTATCACGGGAGTGATTTCCCAGCTTCTTTAAAATCTCTAACTACTGGGTATCCCCAGAGATATTCGATTGGAGGACAAACTGAGACCGATTGCTCGCATAAATCTTCCTCTGCTATCCAATATAAATCCGTCCCATGCTACACACTGACATAAATACGACTTAGCAAGCAACGATTTATGGCTAATTGAGAATTATTTGCCGCAATGGGATATCATAGTTTTTCTTCTTCTCTTATTTTTTCTTCATCCCTTGTCGTATGCGGGACTACTGGATAATTATTTCTTCAGATTGTTAAATTACATTTGTTTCATTTTCACTATTTCTTGCAACTATTAATGACTATTCATCAGCTAATAGTTAACCCTTCGTTACTCAAGCAGTCTTTGAACAAGGTATTCAATGAGATTTTTCTTACAGAAAATAATCGAATAATCCGATTCCTAAAATTTCCAGAATTTGACGTTTTGGCACCTAATTTTTCCTCAAGTTTTTTCTCCGTGTATTTCTCTCATGAATCTGGAAAAAAAGGTATGGCCCACTTCAACAGCGGGTGGTTTGTTTGTACGCTCAACTGTCACAACATGTTGACCCAAACAGCACCACTCACCCCGAGCCCAGAACGTCAAGTGGTTTCATCTGTTGTCATCTTATTCTCCATTTGAATATGAAAAAGTGTATCTGAAAATTCTTGAAATTTGTTGGCGTCAAAATCGATCCTCGGTGGGAGGAATTGAATTGGCCGCAAATCGATGCGAGGAGAAGATGCTCGATGTAAATCCACCGCGTATAAGAATCATGCCGCGTAAGTATAGAGAGCATAATAATCAGAAGTAAATTGCGAGAACGTGAGGCTACCGTATACCGGCCGAGGGAGTCCAGTTCCTCCACGATCAGAGGATCGATTTTTTTTCTCATGCTCGGCCACCCTAAAGCCATCTCTTCCACAACTTCCCCCTGGCCCTTCAGAGTACCTAATCCAATTTGAATCTCACCAAACTGTAATGGAACACGTATTGAATAATATATTACAAACGATTCGATTCAATATTCGTTATACATCCGATGGTTATTCGGTTATTCGCCGACGGAGCATATCGGGGGGGTTTCGTGTGAACTTCTGGACTTTATATTCAATCAGAAATTATTCAACGTCTGGCATTGTCTTTCCGTCCTTCTTTCACGGCAAAACTGCAATGAATTTTCTACACATGGCGCACGACCAATGCCTGGAACAGGCTCGGTGTCTCCGTACAAGCAGACGACAAACACAGCGGGTGAGTGGAGAATTTCAAGAGTCGTCTGGCATATTTGAGAATCTATTTTTCGGCTGTTGAAATTGGCCTGTCGGGATTTTCTCGGACGTCTAGGATCTCCGGGGAAGGCGGCACACGGACGTCAAATGACGTATTAGGGGGTGGGGGAGCAAAACGGACCCCTGGGGGCAAAATGGACCCCTAAAAAAAAGTTTTTTTTTTCTCACGAATAAAATTTTCCAAAATTCATCACTGAATAGGAGGGGTGAGAGTGATGGAGGAGGAGGTGGTGGGCGGTGGTTGATGAAGTTAGACGCCAGATACTATTTTTGAACCAGTTAAACCTCGCAGGAAAGTTTTTTCTTTCAATAATGACACCTTTTTCACTTCGTAATTGACTTTTATAATTTATTATTAGAGGTGAACGTGAAAAGTATACTGCCATTAATGAAAATTTAGAACAACATCATGGTAAGATGACTTCATTCTAATGAATACGAAAATGTCCACGTTCTAATCAAAAGTCTTGGTGAAATTGGATGGAATGATGATGAATAAGAACAATGATGATTAATAAAAATAATAAATAATAACAGTGATGATTAATAACAAAAATAAATAATAACAATGATGATGAATAACAATAATGAATAATAACAAATATAAAATATGAGGTTAGTAATAAATAATAAAGTTTTAGTCTGATTCTTTGCACTCGTCACAAAAAAAGTACGTGGGTCCTGCATTTTCATCAATGTTAGCACAGGTACAATGAGCCTAACCGTTGCAACTCTGGCACTGAATCCACTCCCCACCACTGTCATAAAAACGTTTTTCACAATAAATGCATGGAACATTGTCTGCATCATTGGATTTCTTTCTGATTCCCCTCAAACTTGCCCCCCGGTCCGTTTTGCCCCGTTGGTCCGTTTTGCCCCCCCCCCTTCCCCTATCACACGCTATATGCTAATACGAACATATGCAGGGCGAGCCACACATAATAAATTACTTGGTCACATAGGTAGGCCTAAAATTATACCTGACACTCGGATATGCTGAGGAACTAGCTAGTTTTCTCCCTCCAGTAATTGTCTAAATATTTAACAACAAATACTTGTATTACTACATTTTTGGAGAACGCATTTCGGTTGCGCAATGAAATTCGGAAAATTCGGAAAATTCGGAGGAGTGAGAAGTTTTCTTGAAAGTGTTTACACAAGGGCTAATGCCATAAAAAGAATTTTACGAGAGAGCCGTCGTAAACAATGGTCGATTACGAAGCCTCCAAGGGCTCTTCCCAAAATCCTAAATATACATTGCCCAGTATAGTACTGAGGAATTTTATGATCATCATTAAAAGACCTTGGGCGCTTTTCAATCCTCACAAAATGCGGCAAATTGAATTTGCACAGATTTCCAAACGCTTACGCCCGTGAACCTTCCTCGGTTTTTTGTGTCAATTGGGTCAGAGACAATTTACGTTAATCCGAGGGACAGATGAGTGAAGTAGCAGGACCATAAACGCCGAAGAATTACGCAACATTTGCACTTATCGAAAAATATTATCTCTTGATGGGTATTCACAGCCCGTTATTATCGACCGAGTAAAATTGTAACAAAAAGAGAGAAAAAACGATTCTTTACATCATTCGCAAATGCCCAGGTGGAAAAAGTACTCTACACAATGTATTCGGAAGAAGATAATATGTAAGAATTAACGATAACAAATGGGTCTTCAGTTTGTGATGAACAATGACATGAGCTACAACAGGAGAATATATGCGTAATTTCTTTCGCAGCTCGTAGAGCGATATTCTTAATGCAGAATGACAGTTGATATCAGGCAATCATCCCCAGCAATTCAGCGAGACAACGGTTCCGCAATGATTTTCCATTATTGCCGGATAATTAGCGTTTTCATAGTACACAGGCGGATTATGCCCAGAACTGACAGGCGCTCTTTAACGCTTACGACACACTGCAACGAGTTGAAAACGATTGCTCCGTGACTTATTATTTCGAGTCTGTTTTTTTTTCCTCACTGCAGCGTTGATATTCCGGTCTGAATACAACAGAGGACAATACCAAGGTATATGAAATACTTTAAATAGATAAAAATCTCACCTTGACTGTGCTCGCCAGCATCGAATGTCTTGCTCGTCATCTGGAAGAGTGCATCCAATGGGCTGCCCTGTCCAGTGCTCCTCTTGCCATTGTGTCCACCCTGATTGCCATGCTGTTGGGCCGACTTTCTCTTGAAATGCTGCTGCATCGCTGGATGATGAAGTCCAGGATGTAATCCATGGTGAAGGGAATGGTGGTGATGATGATGATGATGCGCCAAGGGATCAGGACTACCAGAGTCAGACACAGAACTCCTTCCTGATGACGAAGAACTGCTCAATGGAGGTTCACTCATTGATCCAGACATCGAAGCCAATGACATGCCCATGAGAGACAAATCCCGAGGTGTGGAATGAGGTGAAGTGTGATGTAGCTGTTGGGGATGATGTCTGTGATGGTGATTAGACTCAACCGTGTCCCACGGCCTGACTATTTTAGCCTTAGGCCGATGGGATAGAATATCAATGATGCTAAATGACTTGACTCCACGCTCATTGGCCTCACGATCCCGTTCATCCTCTTCGTCAGATTGCTGTATCGGCACCATTTTCAGTCTCTTTAATGGCTTGAAATAATCATCAGCCCCATTACCTGATCTCTCCTCATCATCGGCTTCCTCAGTCTCTCTAACGCCCAGGCTCGTTACTTCACTTCTACTGGTTGTTCTACTTCTTCTTCTACTCAGATTGTATTCACCGTCTCTGGAGTACCTCTCGTCATCGTCAATGTAACTCCTCGGACTCAGTCTTTCGCTGTACTCCTCCCTTGATGAACTCAGTCTCTCATCCTCCTCGTCCTGCGGTGTTGCACCAACCACTAGGGGCAGTGGGCTTGGACAACCAACCGATATCTCGTCCTCATCCTCCTCATCACGTGGCTCTCTAGCCCTGCCCAGTGAACTCCTCGATGATGCCATGCGATTACCAGGCGATCCAACACAGCCGGAATTAGCGCCACTCGATGAAGCTGTTGATGGTGACATTGTGAAGCCCTCGGTCATCTCCGTTGTGCACATACTAACTCCGATTTCCGGGCTCGCGCTCTGATTTTCACCATTCACAAGTGTCATATAGAATATTTTCAGCAACAATTTGCCGTCGCTCAAGCAGTTAAACGACCCAGCTGTACTACAGAGAATGTAGTTTATCTAGCATTGATTGTACCTTTAAGCTGTATAGTTTACCTTTTTCCCATTTTTAGGTAGGTAAACCTGAGAATATAGTCAGTCGTGACGTACGATGAACCGGCGCACTCGCTTCATATCACTCCCAGTTCCTTGTACCTTTCACTTGGAATTTATTTTAACACGAATTACCACTGTTTCATTAGCACTTTAACAATACAAACGTTCGCGCTATCACTCAAACAATCACGATTACGTTTTTTTTTTTTTTTTTTTTTTCAAATAAATCCCTACGAATATCGTTGAATTGTTGTATCACGTCACGGCTCTCAGCAATATCACCAATATATGAATTGGTGTGATGGAAAACGATGGATAGAGTCAGTTAAGTGTGCACGTCATTGAGAGAACAGTGTCCAAGCCAGTGACTCGAAACGGTTTGAACCGAGCGAGGCCTCACTTCCAGTCGGTGCCTACGCCTGCCCTATCTCTCCCTCCTGGTTGCACGAGAGCCGCGGTTCATACAAAAGGGAGGGGAAATGTGCCGGTGTACATCAAAGTCCACAGAGGAGGCAGGTCTGCTGTTGTGGGCGTTGACAATTTAAGGCGCCGCCCAACTATTATCCATCCAAAGCATTCACCACTGATACCGACGGCCAAAATGACGCTAGTTCGGTGGAATTTTTACGAGATGTACTTAACATCTACCCAGGGCACTTCTGGAGCCATCTAAATGCTCTCACGATTGAAGATTCTGCTCTGGGGTTGAGGAAATCACGGGTTCTCACAGAGATGCTTCCCCTTGATCATCCAAGTATCCATTTTTATTGGGATGAATAATCGCGAAACTTTGAATAATATTTCATTTTTTACTTTCAACTTTTATGAGATTGTAACGCGCAAGTTGGAAATAATACCTGGGGAACCATTTTAAATTTTTATTTGGTAATAAACTCCACGTGTGTGTCGAGCAAACATATCGAGGTCGTCTGATAATGAGAGCTCTTAGCTTCTGAAACTGATTATCCAACACGTGTCAAACTGTGGTGTATATATTTACCTATGCTCCCGGGGACTGGAGGATGACTCCCTTAAAATCAACTAGGAAGAAATGGAGAAAGTTGAAGAGGTTGAGACTAAAATTCCAGCGAGTTACAACTTGTGAGTCCTCGGTCCATGCTGGATTTGGAATTAGTGCATACCTGTCGTGATTACAATGGGAAAGGGAGAGATCAGTAAAACGATTTTAGAGTCCCATTTAGCTTTAATTTAGCACGATGGTGATTCGTCGGGTTTAAAGGCCCCGTCGGCATTCCCTATTCCAATACTCAACACGTGAAGAGGCCCCAAGCAAATTATTATGATACCTTGGCCACTGAATTCCGTCGGCATTACCTTTGATCTTTACCGCTGAGGAGCCATTTAGCATGTATCGAGCGATACATTTTGAGAAATGAGGACTGAGGACTAAAACTTTTATTTTTCGGAAACATGTCACGGATTTTCAGGAATTTATCACCAATTATTGATGACGGTGATTTCAGTCATCGCACTGATGTTTGGGGAAATTTTTTTTTTTCTAGTTAACATTACAAAATGTATTTCTAAGAGGACAGTTTTTATTCAAATTCACTCGAGTTTAACGTGAAATACACCGACGAAATGAATGACTATTGATAAAAATGACACATGTTGTAAAAATCATGTGACTTCTTTGTCATTCCTGGAGACGAAAATGTAGCCACAAGTTGTCTGATAACCATATTAGCTGTGAACTTTGGTTTAGCAGTCATAAATTTTTTACAGGATGTGGACACAATGGAATAGGAAAAATGTAAAATAAGACAGTAAAAGAAACAAAGGAGATGACACAGAGTAGCTCACCCCATCATCACGTATTACACAATATATTATGTGGATAAATTTGATGACGGCCGCTAATGATCCAGTCGTAATGACCCTTAATACCCTTCCTATTCATCGAGTATAATATGTAGACTTGTATCGTCCATATTTTCCTCCTTATCATAATACTCAACCTCATCGACATTGTACATGAGTTTGTACACGTGTATATTTATCGGTAATTGACGACAATGTGTCACGCAAACTCTTTACATTGGCGAGCTAGCTGTGCAGTTTGAAGAAAAAAACGGATGGACGAAGTAAGAAAGGAAAGGAAAGGAATGGAAAGGAAAGAGGGAAGGTGAGTCTTTAAAAATTGTCGCAGACTAAATCCCTGTGACACGAAAATTTCACCCTCTTGTTGCCATGACATCCCTTGTAACTTCGACCCTCGGCTTTTTGTCTTGCTTACTTGCTTTGACAGGTCGAACACACGCGGCAATCGAGCGCTGCTCTCACTGACGAGTGGGAGAAAATCGTTGGTTAGCTCCGCCCACCGTTTCACCCCATTGGCTGAACAATTTCCCGCCTCTAGGCGGCATTACCTTTCTCACCAAGAACGATTTATGCCCTGGTGATTTTTCGTATTTTCCGCGAGACCTCCCTCGAGAAAATTTTATCACCCGTATGATGATAGGAGGGAGAGATGCACTCACTGTTTTAACTGCTCCAGCGTGGATTAAAGAGATTTTCCTTTGTAACGAATCGCTTTTTTTCGCCCTCTCCCTCCCCCTCGTCCAAGATGGTGATTTTAAAATGAAAATAAGTCGCTGCGCCGTCTCCAACTCGGAAGAATTATTTAGTTATTAAAAAAAATGAGGATGAAGAGAGCAAACAGAAAAAAAACGCAGTTTACCTGCAACGAACCAGTGTTTTATATCCTCAGCTTCACTGGAAATAGGGGGCGGGCCATTTCCGTGAGTGCAGCATCGTTGGCGGTCGACTCTGCGCAAAATCGATTATGTTATTTCTTCGTGGGCGCGTCTCATGATGATGACCAGTCAATTTTCACTCGTGAGGTGCTAGGTGGCAATTTCAGATGATTTGTTTTCTCCTTCTTCTCGGGGGGAAAACCAAGTTCTTTCAAGTTTTCTAGGTTTCCGGATATTAAAGTCTAGTTAACTGGATTCGGAGTAGATGAGAAAATGATGAAGACGAGCGAGAAGTTGGAAATCAATGAGTCGGTTTCTTTTGTGCTTGGGCCCACCAGAGTGCGTGGGACAATAACCGACGGATTTTTCACAAGTTCGACAATAGAGTGCGTCGATAGCCGTCACGAATTGGACAAACGATGCTGCATTGTTGCCATGGCTTTCTCAAGAGGGCCTTTCATGTTATTACACCGAAAAGAGGTGTCAAATCTTGTAACCAGACGAGCGAGAAAACCCAACAGAAATTTAAAAACAGTTAATGTATATTGGATAATTATTAGAAAATATTGAATTCCAACTTATGAGGGATTTAATTGTTTGCCTCAATCCTCAATTAATATTCCGCTTGACAAAATGAAATTCCTCCAAATAAGCAGCATGTTGATTTTCAATTTGTCACGCTTGAACTGAAAAAAAATGACTTGGCACCCCCATAAAAGCGCTACTAGTTGCCACGAAGATGAGGGGGTGCGGAATCACGTCGCAGCCGGGTGTGTCAACCCTTGTGACCCGATCAGGGTTTCATCGACTGGAATTAATTCCTAACTGAGTGGGGACCCGCACGCCCCAGTCATTGATATTATATCCAAGCACCCTAAACACACAAGTACAGGGAATTGAATAATTGTCGAGATTTTTTTTTGCTCGGCTTTTTTTTTGTTTGATTGAAAAATTTGTTGCCAGCAATAATTGATGTACTCGTGATATATTTGGACTCAATTATATATTATTCAATTATTATCGAGTGAAAATAATTTATGAGTTGAAAAAAAGCACGGCATTCTGGAAATTTAGCGAAATTGTGTACAGATGACCCGTGACGAATGATGAGTGTCACGTACACCATGTTCAGCCGAAAATCTCCCAATGATTGTCCTCAACATCAGTGTTGTAGGTATCGACGATGGGGGTACGCTGGCGTACACTACATATAAAGCATTAGACACAGCAGTCTCCGGTGATTCCGATTGAACTACAAGCCAACTCGGGGTTATACCCGGTTTTAACAGCTGGCATGATAGTTGGAGTGCAAAAGAGAAGAGAAGTGCAAGTTGGTGACCGCCCATTTGTGCACGACCACCAGCGTAGTTCTCCGATCGATCCTTGATACACCCTCCAAAGAGTCAGGGAACTAGCTCTCTCCCTCCCTCACCGTTTATGCCTCAATCTTTCTCATGCCCATTTTTTTTCTCCCGATGCAAACCCCACAGTTACATTTTCCCTCTGACTCGCCCACAGTTTAACACCCTCAGGATGAAAAACGCGAAAAACACACGAATTTGCCAGATGTCTGGGAAAAAGTTGCTTTCAGATTGTTACTTTCTTCATCACCACTGCAAAACCCTATATTTTGGTAGATGAAAAAAAATGCGAAATTGGATTGAAAAAATTCAAGTTGTCGTTCTAGGGTCAGCATGGGGAGTAGAAAAAAAAACAAGCGCGTGGCACAAATTTTCGTAAATTATTAGTTAAAACCCATAGTTCACGTTCTTTTTTATATGAAATTGGAATAGGGACAGTTTTTTTCATTGCGTGCGTACGGTGGTTCCACATGATCATTCAAGCGTTACCCGTACCTCCTGTGTGTTAGAGCCTCAAAATGATTCATATTTGAATTATTGACCGGACCTTAAAGCCAGACCGTCAATCATATTTCAATTTAAATAAAAGATTGAGCTAAATAGAAAGTTGCGTATTTTTTCACATAAAGAGCCAGTGTCCCCCGCATTTCATGTCTACTGAAACTAAAAGTGAATCCACGAAGCTTTCACGGCCATGTCAAACCCCTAATCATGCTTTTTTTTAGAAATGCACGATTTCTGCAGGGTGGAATAAAAAATTGCTTTTTTACTCCAATTGATAATTTTGAATAAAGCCCGATTTGCCATG